AGAACCATATCTAAGAAAACGGCGAACGAAATACTATTTTGGTGATAATCTTGTACTTCGTCGTATGTCTCCGATTGGATGTCGATCTCCGTCCAGCTGGATCGAACCAGGCATGGGAGTCTTGCGGCCCCATTGGTGCGACAGTCTCCTGATGACATACATGAATTTTCTGTGCTCGGACTTCCCCCAGATACGGCTTAGAGGATATTTTACCTCTCCCTAATTGGGTCGAAGAATCACCTAGACCCACATATTAGAGGCTGGCCAGAAGATCTTCAGGGGTTGAGAAAACACACCAGGTATTCAACCATTACTTTTACGGTACACTTGCGAGTAGACTGCGACAACGCCCACCAAAGTGGAGACACTTTTAGCGTCGCCAAGACAAATGCGGGCACTCTTGGCAAAGTGGATACTGCCAAGATTTGATTATGTACATAAAATAGCCTAATAGGGTAATTTTTGCATTAATTTTGCATAACGGTGGGCGATGGGCGTCAAATTTCAAAAGGCCCACGGGCCGTGGACACTTTCTAGTGCCCATGAACGGGCGATGTCGCAGTCTACTTGCGAGATGGTGGCCTAAGAGCCGATCACGATGGAGCGTCACTTATATCAATATCTCGTAATGAAAATGTCGGAGCTTCTGAGGGGCAACCGTTGAGGTCAATACAACAGAACAAAGCTAGAATTCAAAGAAAAAGCCAAGCCCGTGCTTGATCGATCTCACCGTTATGCCGGCATCTCCCGCGTCTCATCCTACGTGCACGCGGCGGGCCGCATATCATTTAGTGTTTTCCCGCGGAGCGCTCGCTTAGAGTTTGTGATTGCATTACCACAAATTGTTCAGTTCCTTTTTCTCTCCACATCTCTATTGACGAATGGGAACATTTTCACGAAACCCGACTTGCCTGAAAGTTTGGGCTCCCTATTTAAGGAGATCGGGTTCTTGTCCGGTGTACTTTTTCCTAAATCTCAACCAATCGGGCGCCTCGACTGGTAAGAGTTGATCCGCCTAGGGAAATTGGATAGGAGTGGTTGTGTTCCTATGGATTTATGCTTATATGACCGGCGAAAGAAAATTTACCAAACTGGCTCGGTCTTTATGTCGCTATCTCGGTCAGCAATTGAGTGAGGAAGGATATAGGAAAATGGAAAACAAAAGGTTAGGGTCTCGGATATTGTATACGCAGGTCCCGGGGTGTATGTCTTCTGCAGCAAGTCCTACGAAACTGTCACCACTAGACACAAAATCAACGATGATCTAGCTATAGGCCGATTAAGCCCGGACCCACACTAGCCTTAAGGAAATTTGGGAAATAATCCCTGTTAATGTCACATGCTGTTATGGAATTTATTTCTGCCAGACACCTAGTCCAAATCGCAAGATTTTACTTCCGGGGCCCCGGAAGGATGCGGGCCGGTGGCTGATCAGCCTATCGAAGCTAGAGTTTGAATTGATCGCCCTAGCTACGGTCTCATCCGCGGAAATTAGCCGCGCTGTACTCTCCACTTGTACCTGACTCTCTGAAAGTTTATCTTAATGAACTCGTTTTCCTCTCACAGGAAAGATGGAACCTTAGTGATCAAGCGAAATTGTTTCTTAGATCTGGGAGTAGGGAGCATTGCTTAGCGACGAAGCTTGAACTGTGTTGAGTCTGGAGGGAAAAAAAAGAAAAAAAAAAAACCGAGTCATTTGCTTAGGGGCAGTTCCCCACAATACAAAACGGGTATGGCACACGGCATGGGGCGAGCTTCGTAAATCTGTTGGTCTACGCTTGGCGATTGGCCGGGAATTTATTAATTTGTCCAATAAGAAAATAGAAAATAAAGGACAAAAGAGATATTAAAAAGAAGACGGGTGACTGGGGAACTCGTTGTATTGCACCTCCCAAGTTCCAATGCCTCGTGGTGCGAGGCGTTGTCTTTCCTTTCGGAGTTCTTGGCATGTACCACTCGCGGTACAGATCACTATTTGATAAATCTATCGTCTCCTACTTTATCTTCAGTTTCTACAGGGAGCACAAATCATAGCATTTCGCCTTACGGAGCGAGATTAACATCACGGAACAAGATCGGCGGGGATCGTCCGTATCGGGGGCTAGCTAATGTTCTAGATTTTTGGCAGCTATCAATCGGCTATGATGCTCAGCACAGTCGCATAGACTGGCATATCGACTAGATGGGGCAAACTTACGAAAGCGGCCGCCGGACTTAGCCGAGATTTCACAAGTGAACCTTGATATATGCCTTAGTATTAGCGTTGTAAGAGAAGTATAAGCCGACAACTCCGTTTTCCAATATCAACCACCTTCCCCGGGGTGGGGAGGAGGGGTTGGCACAGCACCGGTCACGGGCGGGTTTTCTACGACAAGCGGAGCTTAGGATCTCCATATCTAGCGGACGCTCTGCACTGCCGTATGCTGGCGGCTCACAGACCTAAAAGAAACTAATTTTACTTGGGATAGAATATATAAGCACGCACGAAGATGCATATGTAGCAGGACAGGGGGCTCACCAAGTATAAAATCTGTTGGTAGTACAGTCTCAGCGATCACTGAGAGATGCTCCCGTCCGAGACCCATTAAAATGGCGACATACCAATACCAGCACGATACTATTGCAGGGGGAGATAAAAAGGAAAGTCGTACCGGCTGGACCGGGCAAGCCGAGACCGTTGATGCGTACGTTGTTTTCGGATCGTTTCCCCCTCTTATTAGTGTAATATTCGCATTGCGCCGGGAACAATGCAGCATCTCCCCGGCGTAGTTCCTCTTGCGACGAACGGACGGTTCGTTAAACGCGCTAGCGCGAGGATCGACATATGATTTGTAATAGTGGTGGTTTGGGAAGAAATGGCTTTGCTAGATCCCTGTCGTATTTGATTTTGCGATTGGCATCTCGCTTAGCCTATTTTGCCACGGGTAAATACAAAAGCGGTAAAGACGTGCGGACGCTGCACACGTAATAATCCTCCGATCTAGGTAGGCGGACCGTTTGATTCCACCTCTCCCCGGTCCAGTTATCACCGTTTCCACACACGTTACCGATTCTAGATTGGGCTGTGAAGCTCAGTGGCGCTTTGTATCAGCTGATTCTCGAGTTGCATCAACTCCTTAGCAGCGTAGACCTCAGGCCCGGTCCGGACGGATGCTGGTAGATCATGAAACTCTACTAGGGGTTATAAGTATCAATACGTGGAAATGATTGATATCGCTTTATTGCTAGGCATCTTGCTGCAAGTACGAACTTGCGGGTACTCCTTTCCCTTCCATTATTCTGCCACACGCCTGGGGGGGCGTCCGGGTCTTCGCCCAGTTCCTGGGCTATCTTTGGATAGAGAGTTCAATTGGTCTTTCAATATAGCCACTTCCTCTTTGAGCGCCGAGATTTCCTGGTACGTTCCCTGTATAGTCTCCATGCCTCGTACAATCTCGTCGTTCCAGCGATTTTGTTCATCGAGCTGTATTTCCACGTACCTGGAAATTTCCATTAGCATATCCATATTGGAGCAAGTCTCAAGCTTTCTTGCGAGGCGTGCACTCACCGAGCTCGGCGGTCTAGACTAGAAAGACATTAGCCTCACTGATAACTCTAGTATGTAGAGGCAGATAGCCATACTCTTTCAAACACCTCACACACTTGCCAATTGATACGGGAGCATCAGCCTCTCCAGACTGCACCGCTTCTGGACCGTCATCTGCCACGCTTTGGGTCTCCATAGCCCAGTCACCGTCAGCTCCATCTCCTGTGTCTTCATCCATCGGGACATGGCATTCTCCCGCATAGGACTGCGTTTCCATGTCGTAAGGACAGTCTTCCTCTTGGATTGCAACTGATTCGGGAATGCTCCAGACGTCGAAAGGCTTGGGAAGTTTGGAGGCAAGAGCATACCGCAGTTGGCTGGAGAACCGACCTGGGTTCTCGCAGGAACCAGATTTTTGCAAGATACCCATAGATTAAGGATCTTGACCTTGTGGGAAAAGCGAATGGTGGAAAGTTGGAAGGTACAGAAAAGGAATTTATGGCTAGTCCCTCCCACCAGTGATGGAGGTCGGACTTGATTTATAGTCCGGATGGAGACAACGGTGCAGAGCTTGAACCAATGTAAGGGCTGGAGCTATACACCCTGCGCAATTTGGGCACGCTTGGCTTCCAGAAACACTGCATACGGGCCTACGGATACACAAATCATTGGTTGGATAGTCCTGCGACGCCGGGTCTAGACTAACAAAGAGTACCTAATTGGGGGTCTAGTAGGGAGCTTCGATACTGCCTTGATGGTCTTAGAGAGAACCAATAGGCCTAGCAAGAAGCTTTTCCTGTCTCATATTTTGCAGTGGGCGGTATCACTGAATAGCTATCATCCCAGGGAATGTAAGTCGGGCTGTCTACCCTTTGTTCAAGACGCAGCATTTTGTTGATTCAGCTGGACTTGACCAAGGACCAGAGACGTAAACGAGCCATTCCGTCCCGAGGAATCGGAGGGCCGGTAAACAAGAATACATGGTAAAAAATGTTGGCTGAGCGTCGTGTAAGACTGTAATATGACCAAAACTCTCTCAATTATGATTTTTTTACAACCCTAGTCGAACCTCATTATGACCACCCCCACTAGAGTAATTCAGGCGGGTATGAAGCAAATTGGCCACTCACAACTATACTATCATCATTTGACCACCCTGGTTTAGGGGGAAAAAAAAAAAAAAAAAAAAAAAAAAAAAAACCACAAAATCTGAGGTCGTATTAATCATATACCCATCCAACATATCCGGGCAAATTGTATGAAAGTTTCCACTTTCGGATAATATTTAACAAGGGCCACCCGCCCCGAGAAAAGACACTTGTTCAAAGTAGGAATGGCGGGTTTGGGTATACAGCAGTTAAAATAATGCCGTCCATCGTTCTTCACCTTCTGTCTTCTAGTGTTTGCCCTCACTGATTTCCTATCCTACCTTGACATCCGTTCTTTAGCTATTGCACTTCAATCAATCACCACAATGCCGAAGGGTAGCTATATTCCTTGGACTGCATCTGAGGAAAACAACCTCGAGCAATGGATATCTGAGCACCTCTGGTTGTCTTGGGAAAGAAGAGCCGAGGAATATTCCAAGCAACACAATAAAGGCAGATCATTCGAATCGCTGCGAGGTAAATACAATCAGCTTCGGAAAGGGATTAGAAGACGGCGTCCAATCTCTGATAAATTGCCTACACGTATCCGCACGATGACCCGTAGGGCTCGGTACCGGCGCCAGAAGCTTCCGGAAGGCTTCCCTCCTTGCCCCCCTGTCCACAAGCTTAAGGCCTCGGACCCTTGGGCTCGTCGACTACTACAGCAAGGGCAGCAATTCGGAAACGCACGCCCTCGAGCCTCAGTGGCCTCGCTGAAAAAAGATAACTACGAGCCCTCATATCCAGCACATCATGCTGCCCCGGGTAGGTCACCGAAGCCTGTTTAACATTGCGTTGCCAATTACTGACTCCTTGTCTAGTCTTTATTAGCCCCAAACCGTTCTTTCGGCGGCGTGAACAACCAGCCTTTGTTTCACAGCTTTGGAGGATGATCCGCCGCATTCGCATATCACAGACGGGAGACAAATAGTGTCTTACAGGAAGAGGAAAGTCGGGCATATAAATGGACATAGTGGCCTTGTGGATGGGTGTCTGCAGTAGCTTTATATACGAATAGGCATATTGGGTAAAGCTTGATTGCTTTCTTCCCTTGCTTCTCCCATTCTCAAATCTAACATGGAGCTTCTTGCTTCGCTCTGGGGAAGGGTCACTCTAATTCTGGTCATCTCAGGAGGAAGAAGGTCGGGTAATAAGTGACCTGATGACGCTGAGAGAGAACTGGCCCTGGAAATGTGCATGGCTTGCATCTGTTTCCCGTCTGCTACTGAACTGTGCTTTGGGGTCAGGGAAAACTATTGTGCTTGTTACCCAAGCTGCTTTCACCCTTTACGATTGAGTGTTTCCACCTTGATCTCTGTTTCTGCTGTAAATTGTGCTTAGGTCCGTCAGGCTTGGTTATAAATCAATAGGAAATGGGCAGATTGCATCCTGTGATCGGGAAGGACAATTTCTGGTTTTCCTGCTCTGCTTTCATGTTGTTGTGCTTGAAAGAAGCTGCCTTCAAAGTATTTAAGTATATCAACTAAAACATTTCACATACTAGTAGCCATAGACCGCTCCAATTTACTAATGGTTCCTGCCCTCGCGTTACAACGACAGTTGACCTTGGTATCCGATGTTGCTCCACCTCGGTCTCATACCTCCATAGTTCCTGTAACTTGCTCAAATCACGTGGGACGGGTTACGGAGGTCATCTTCAGGGTGGATGTTTACTCCAGGCTGCCCGGTAATTCCCCGACTCTTGAAGCCGGACGCCTGCTCGAGCTCGGGCAGCAACGATTTTCTTTCTCTGACTAGATCCTCTACTAAGTTAGCGTATTGAATTGAATAGACCGGGCACTAATCATGCATGCGACCAGATTGGGTTGCCCGATCGCCAGGGGTAAGAAAATGGCTTTAGTACGGCCCGTAATTACAGATACACCTAGAGTGGGCCGCTTCCAAACCCCGAGGGGCCCACATTTCCATGGTTCGCCATATAGTAGCTCCATAATATCTCAACCTTCTTGGGTTACAAGAACTGTTCGGGCCGACTCGAAATCCAAAGTCGGTCAAAACATAAATCCAGACTCGACATTAGTGCCGGACTGAAGCGACAGGTAGAAAAAAGCAGAACCCATGAACACAACGGCTGGGCAAAATCAGACTGGTCTCCCTCACCGTAATGACATCCCGCACAAGTTGTATCTCTACGAAGATTAACAAAACTTGATTAGGAAAAGATTTACAGATGTTTGTTTTTGATGGCCTACCTGACCTTCATAGTACTTGTTAGAATGAAATCTGATATTTGTGTGCCAGAATATCCCCTCTTCCCGTCGGGCTGAACCTTTTTTTCTTAGAATGTAATCGCTAACTTACGCAGGATCAGGTTCTGATTTGACACTGACGTGCTTTTGACGGGCTGGACCTCGCTGAATAGTTGAGACACCCAACTATTTGCATAAGCTACCAACACGTATTTGAAATCTAAGTTCTCTCTCCCCGGACCCTCGAACCTCATCGCGCAGCTTTTCCATTGCTACCTGTACCTCCGTGTTGTACACCGCACACTCTGTGGAGTAATTTTCATTTTTCCTGTAGGATTGTCAATATATCAGCAACCCTGGCAAAAGTCAAAAACGAAAATCCACTGGGAGTGATGACGGAGAGGAAGGTATTACCGGATTCGGGGGTCCAAACTAAGGATCGATTAACGTATTCGGTAAGCGAGTGGCCATTGTAAGCGAGTGGCCATCTCCGAAACGCATAGTAAATGCGACAGATTATTTTAACCACTATAACTTAATTTAATTTTGAGTATTAGTGGATAGGTATCGATAAGCATTTCTAGTAGTATATATTAATTTTAAACAGAGTAGAAGACTATATTATCATTATTTCAAATATTACCAAATATTACGTTACTAAAATTTAGAAATATATAGCAGAGGGTATGTTTTGGGAGCTTGGGGAGAAAGAGATAGCTAGTCGGGCTGGCATCATGCACACCTCACATCGTCTCGAAAATCTTTCGTCAAGCTTTGAAACCAAAGCTGGGAGTATCCCAATCAATGTCCTATCAAAAAGAAGCGACCTGACCAATTCCAACAAGAAATCAACAATTCAACTTCCTTCCTTAACGAAAGTACTTTCGGATCTTTCTGCATGTCCAATGGTGAAGGAGCTTCCTGCAATCCAGTCTTCGTTCACTTGAAAAACCCTAGAAGAGCTGCCTTTCTTGGTTTATCACGTGCAAAACAAGCCAAGGCTTCGAGGCCCTTTCAAAAGTCTTCTAGTGGGGTTTGGGTGAAGACATGCTAGGAGATAATGGGTATTAGGGGTCTGATGGAAGTTCAATGATATATCATTTTGATTGATTGGATCGTGTGATATTTAGGATCCGAATAAGACAACCATAACGGAAATTCTGGTTCCATCAAAAATACCCACTTTTGGCGAATCAGCAACTTGAACGTATTTGGTATTCGTGTACTTTCCCGCTGCGGTGTATCCTATAAACAATGTTTCAGGTCCACTGTGCTTCGGATCCTGGCGCGTGATATGACAGACCAATTCGAACTAGCCCCGGGAGAACTTAGTGTGCGTCAGGCTATCTGTTTCAGAAGCCTTTTACCCTGCACTTTTCAAGCTACCTGTCTATCTTATCTTTCCTACACGTAACTCCTTATCAGGTAACCTTATGGTTTCTTCACCGGAATTCGATGTCTTGCATATCCTAATATTTGGTGTGAGTGGCTAAAAACCATGCGATGACTAATATTAAATTGATCACTAATCCCTTCGGAGAAAGGGAAAATCTACTGTACTAATCCATAACGGAGGCAAACTAGTCTGGTATCGAACCCATATTCCCATCTTGTGGTAAAAAATAGTGTGTCAGTTGGGAGCTCAATGTTCATTCCAGGTGCATCTTTTAGACTCGTTAGCACTATGAACTGCTAAGAGAGGAAAAAAAATTCAATTCACGTATGGTTTAGCATGGAAAAGAAGCCAACTCTGATATTCTCTCAATTACCCTGAGTGGGCACAGTCAAGCTATAAACTTAATCGACTTGCATCCTTGGAAGCTTTAATGCATACATACCGCCCACTGTCTTCACCGGGATCGGTTCTGGGGAGCGGAGAATTCCTGGGCACTCCAAACTATATCGCAGTCTAGTAATAGTATCATGTACGTACAAAGGCCCAGGAATCCGGCAACATTCGCCGAAGATGGAATCAATGATATCAAAGAAACCAGATTTGAGGAACTTGTTCTAAATGTTGTATAGATTTTAGGAACCTAGAAGGTGGCTACATTTCGCTGTGTCCATCCTGGCGGTTTTTTTTAGTACACCCAAGGCTAGCCCTCCTCCAATATTGTTGTTTTTGTCTTAACCACCCCACAGTCTTCACTCTCGTTGCTTTGGGGCCTGCCTCGTGAAGCTTATCATGTCCTGTATGTATTTCGCGTGCGTGCTTTGAAAAACAATGCTTCATATCCGTCTTGATTTGCTCACATTAACGATTCATAGATTTTGTGACACTTTCAACCCTACCCGGGAGCAAATAGCTGCGCAAGTCTCTTTCTCTCTTGAGTACGGACTCAAAAATTCACAGCTATGTAGGTCATGATGACCACTGCGAACAGTATTATCTGGCCCAGTCAAGCAAGCTCTCTTCGTCGTTGGAGTACAAGCTTCTTTCTTATCCCCAACAAAAAGAAAGCTGCTGTTGATCGAGTGGAGTATGTCAAATTCTTGGGACTCAATGGTGGGAGAGGACGGATAATGAAGCATCGGAGCGGATCCATGACCTTGTAGCTCTGAATAATCTGAGTGACATGGTGACACCCAATTCTTCCGTGGCTGAGCATATCTTGCGTCTGAGGCAATGCTTTGATATGAATGCTGTGGCAGAGGCCAGGCAAGTAAGTCTTCCGAAGAATAGTCAAGACTATTTTCTATTGGGTCTGAAGGCTCCAACCCTGGCAGCGTGACAGTATCATCATTGGGAACTGCATTTTCACAACCAGCCTGAAGCTTATCCCATATATCAATTTTCAACGTGGTCATGCCATCATTTGAATGCGATTCAACGTGAGGTAAGGTGTCGAGGATTATTGGATGATCTGGATCCTGGAAAACATATGAGCTTTCAGGGGGATTATCACCAGCAGGCAAACGCCAGTGCCAGATTTCTGTCGCCTCATCCGCATGTGCTTGCTGGCGTTCGAACTGAGAAGATAAGTTCGATTGACTAAACAGCGTATCGGCTGGATTGCAGAAGAATAATTGAGGATTGTCCATTGTAATTTGTCTGCTAGGTGATGGTGTAGCTTCCGCGATGCTAGCTGGCTCTACTAGTGTGTTAGACCTTTCGTAATTTGTTTGTTTCCGACGAAACATAATTCTTACCATCTAAACCATGGCTTTCAGGGCCAAGTAAGGTAAAGGGCATCGGAGGTGATAATGCCCACTGGATATCGCCCCCAGGTGCCAAAGATTGTTGCTGACCTTCCTGGAAGTTGTCTACAACATCCCGACCAACACCGTTGCCGTCATCGTACGATGGGTTGGAGTTCAAGTATAGAGTTTCAAGGTAGTCACACACAGAGGCTGGTGCTGGAGGTAGTAGAGAGTCTGGAGGTAAAGCCCGGCGTGTATTGGATTCTGACGGCGGAGTAAACTCCGAAGTCAACATCAACATGTTACCGCAAGGCCCTGGATCTCCAGTGAGGGTGGTTTCTGCCGACATGATAATATGTGAGAACACACAAAGTAGAGTATTTAGGAGGATAAAAGAGATGTTTTCAGTCAAATGAAAGGCCATTGCAGAGATGGAAGGAAAGCTTGATATAATCTCCGGAAGCCCGGAAAATGGTAAGCTGTTTATCTTAATTGCATCATGCAGTTTGATTTTCTGGCTCTCAGGGACAAAGTTCAAGCAAAGCCCCGCTTCATGTCATTTCTCAATTTGCCCAAATTGTAATTCTGTAATTGGACAATTTCCGTTGTAAATATTGTTCCCAGGAGTGTTGACTTGTCTCGGTGTATCGAGGGCACCTGGGTCTTCTGCCTTGTCACACAGCCCAACAAGTAATTTCTATTTGCAGTTGCTGCAAAGTCCCCAGTAATCCACCCGAGATTTCTCCAGCCCAGTCAAACGCTCGGCAAATAGATCTTTGGGCTAGAAGCGATTGCTTGTCGAATACAATTACTCCTTTCCACCTGAATTGTTTATTGCTTGCTCTGGCGTATTTTCTTTCGTCCATGAGTGTTATCAAGAAAGTCCGCACCTTTTGGCGTATGAGATCTGTCGGATAAACATAAACTCATAGGCAGTATTCTAATGGCTAGGAATGGAGTTGTAGATACTAAATTATGGAAAATTGCTCAACTTACGTGTAATTCATCGTCTTCAATGATCTTATTTGTGACTCCTGCATTGTCTTGCTCGAAACCAGACTCTGCAACAAAATACGATGTGTACACAACGATCTTGGCTAATATGATTTAATCAGATTCACCATTTTTAATTAGTCGGGTATCAACCGAGGGACTCAAGGATCACAGTGTCAGATCTTGTGTGTGACGCATGGATCAATTACTCCGTTCTTTTAAGTTCCCACGTGGTATCAGGTTCTACCAAAAGATACTGGCACGACGGGCGACACAGTGTTGAGAAAAGGATCTGTCAAGTTGAAAGATACTATTTTTGTTCGTCGACCTGATCAACTCGAAAGCGGGACGGCTATCGTCACTGAATGCTTCTATTTCCTCTTTCGCTATACGTACTTTTTAACACCGAAACCTCCTCCCTGTAGAGACCCTAGTACCGGGCTACACGAACACGGCCAATCTGATATCACGCAACAGAAGTGGTGACACTGCCTCCAGTAGGTATCGTCAGAGCAAATTCGGGTGTCATTGGTGCCGTGGTCGTTAAGAGGATGCAAATGAGCTCACATCTTTGTACCATTTCTACCAGTCGAACTCACGGGAATATCTAGATTCGCTTTCAGGAAGGGTGTATGCGCATAGTTGTGACAAGCTGCACATCGTCTAATTGCGAAGGGTCAAGGTAATCACGTTCAGGATTTCTCGATATGGGTCACAACATCAACTTCATTCTTGTAAGTTCCCTCGTCCTTACTACAGAAGGAGTGGCAGTTGTGGCTGCCCAGGATGCTCCCAATTGCACATGGGCCGGTCGCCTTGGTATTTCCAGCGGAATTTTAACCCGACAAATCGCCAAAATGTTGAGCGGAGCGCTGATCCCTTCCCCAGTTTGCTGCCCGACGGCCCTTCCTCTCAGCCCAAAGTTATACCCACCATAGAGGGGTTGTCTTTTCCCCAGAACCATCATGCCCGTGAAGTGAATTTTGTGGCAATGTCGGTCGGCTTTGGGGGCCCTGATGTTACCACAACCATCGGTGGTGAACCAATTGCTGCCACTATTGCAGCTACCAAGACTAAGGATATCAGCATCGAGAACAATTCGCAAAAGGATATCGAGACCACCTCCAATAATACGGGAACACCTAGCAAGCAGAGGTCAGGGGTCAGCTCATCAGCCAATCCAGCTACATCGGTTTCAACTGTTTTACCGAAATCCTTTAGCGAGAATCTCCTCGTTAGCTCAATCCTAAGCTCTGTCTCCTCGACTGCCTCGGCTGTGACCCCTGTGCCTGCTTATTCTGCTTCGATACATCCGCCACGCTTGTCGGCAATTTGAACTCTGCCTTGGATATTCTCCGTACCTCAACCAGCAGCAGCCTGGCATCCTCGAGTGTCTCGACTGTGACTCCCTTAACTGAATCATGGGCTACGGCCTCTGCCGCGCCTGTTTTGTCTTTGGCTATGTCCGCCGCCATTTCCTATGATGACCTGAGATCGGGCATAGATGGCCTCCTTGGTGTTCCGACCTGCACCACCGCCTCTACGGGCCCGAACGGAACTGATCCTTCTAGTGCTAAGGGAACCAGGTCCAGTATGTTCAGTTCCAATTCCACAAGCCCAACGAGGACCAGCTTGGAATCTTCTTGATATCTCGGCCCTGAATAATGAGACTTCCAACAGCAACAGCACCACCACCATCTCGTCCTCTAAGGCCACTAGTCCGCCGACTATCCCAACTAGCGTGCATGCTTCCACATCCAGCCGGCTCTCAACCACTCGGACTACTGCTGAAACATCAATTTCTGGTAACCCGCTTGACACTCTTGTGCCCAGCGTAGACTCCCTGCTTAGTACCTCATCCCCAGGGGCGGGCAGCGTTGGCCAGGTGTCAACTGCACTGATTCTCAATGACAGTATTTTGCAGTCCACACCAAGTGGCCTCTTCGCTACCCTGACGCTGGGTGATAGCACCACTACCATTATCCCGACCCCACAGACTCCATCGCAACTATATCCGTGCCACATTTACCTGGCTCTGGCTCTGGTTCCGGTTGTCACTTCGACTTCTTTTCTACGCATTGCCTCCTCTGTGTCCGACTTTATGCCTCACGCTGTTTCTACTACCCCCCCACCGGGGGCGTGTACTGTGATCCGAGATCTGCTTGCCCGGTCGGGATAGTCTTTCGCATCCGCCAAAAATTCTGTGGATACATGCGGCTCGAACATAGCGGCCTCTGACACATCGGGCCTAGCCAAACTTAGATCTATTGAGGATGGGCCGACCACGCCTGGATGGTATGTACAAATCTTTTGCTGCTTAACGGACCTCTTCATTGTGTTTTACAAGTCCTCAGTCGAACTGTAGAGACTCCCTCCTGGTACCATAATTTAGAAGGGTTGTCTCTATGTTCTGACTTCTAGTCCGAATTCAAAGAATACTAATGGATTTCCTGTTATGCACATGAGTTTCAAGTTTGTTTCTTTACATGGACAATGATTCCAGCGTCATCCTTGACCGTTGCACTTGATAAAGGAAATACATTAGTTTCAAACCAGATCATGAATTCGGGTTCGTGCAATCCTCAGTATCGACAGCTCGAGGGTACATGCGGACTGAGAAAGCGTCTTGTTCGATTTTAGGGTTGTCAGCTGGGGCAATCGGTAGATAGGAGGTTCACCCAAGCTAACTGAGGTTTCTTGTTTTGGCAAATTTTATACCGAGTTCCGCGATTCCGTGATTCCGTGGAAATGTGGTGGATGGACAAGAAAGCATAGTCATTGGAGGGCCTCGTATTGTTGAAGACAAAGCAAATCGTCAGATATTAAGCAGCTAACTGCTTGGGTAACTGTTATCCTCTAGAAACTGGCAAGAGTACAGTAATACTTAAATAGCTTCTTAATCTATCATCTCGCCCATTGACCAGTCAGCCTCCCCCATTAAAAGTTGCGCTAGCACCTAGTACTAGTCGGACACGCAATCTGCAATCATTGCGACAACATGGCCAGCCCAGCCGGCTGCAGCCGGTCAACAGAGGCCTCCGCCGGTAGAGTGCCCACATAAGCATTGAAATTGTAGATGCCATAGGGGCACGTGCTAGTAATATCCCTCCGACTAGTCCCAGACAGATGATCAACCGTCTTTCCTTCACGAATAATCTTGAAGCTCTGTCTACCCACACCCATCAGCACAGAGTGCGACCAAATTCCGGACTTGGCCTTATAGGTCTCAGACTCGCGGCCAGACTGCACATGCACGGTCGCAGGAGTCTTCAACATCGTTACTATGAACACCTCGTCGGTCAGGTTATTCGCGCCATCAGGTCGTCCACAGACGGAGTTGCCACTCCAGCTGTTAGAGCACCCTTGAATAGTCGTGTCCGTTGCATCACAATTGACATTCTTGGGGGTCGTTCGATACCAGTAGACCAGTTTTTCTTCGTCGAGGAAACGGATTGGTACTTTTGAGCCAGCTTTATAGGAGGCTATAAAAGGCTTGGCCATATCTAACCAGCCGTTATGTGGCCTTTTTATCCGTTATTCGCCGTCACCCCAGTTGGCTTTTGAGGAAGTTATGCTTACATGTCCATGACCCATTTGGAGGCTCCATCATCTGTGTGCGGTGATGATAGCGGACCAATGTAGTGCGATTCACCGTAGTCATTCCAGGTGAGAAGCTCTACAAAGCGAGGGCTGGTAGCTAGAATCTCCTTCCATCGGTTATACCACAGGAGGCCAGACGGAAACACCCAGTTTTTGGTGTACGAGACTTCGCCGCCAAAATGTGTCGAGAACCAAGGCGAGACCGCTAATTTTGAATTAATATAAGAAAGAAACGCTTGTTCGTGCCGCTTACATGCGATATAAGGCTTTCCGTTAAGAGCTGTTCTGTAAGCATCATCACTATCTGCAATAGCGAGCTGCTTGCTGGCAGTTGGAGATCCTTTGCTTCCATAATTTTCCCACGCGATCCAGCCCAGAGCGGCCTGAATATTACTGAAATCACCCCGACCGGGGTGGAAATTGGGTGCAAAATATATATCGCTGCCGGCAGCGGATCTGAGCGCTGCAATGTCGACACCATCACCGACGAAAGAAGACACAAATACCTTCCCATCGACCTTGAGCTGGGCAGGGAGATTGGCATACTGCGCTATCTTCGCACCGACTGCACTACCCTGGCTAGTCTGCCACCAGTTGAAGTCAAAAGAGATGAACACTTTCATGTCATTGTTGGCGGCAGACTCATACGCAAAGCCCAGCTGCGTGTCAGTGTAAGGATCAGTGCCGATGTTCAAGGCGAAAGCGTCGATGCCTGCATATCGGGCGCGCTTCATATCGCCGTCATAGTCGCTAGCACTCTGGCGGTTGCTAACGATGCCAACCTAACATGAGTCAGTACTGGATCCACGATCCAATGGGGGATGCCGGAGGGCCATGCCATGAAATGACAGAAAACCAGTTTGTTTCCATAATTCTCATCAGAACTAGCCATGGTAGTAGTGTATTCATTTGGGAGCGAGGTAGCTACAATGAAGGGTATGAGGCCAACCAGGGTCACAATGGGTCCCCACAATATGAACTCTAGAATGGATGCGTGGGTTAGCATACTGTCACAACGAAACCCCACAGTAAAAAGAATAAGTAAAACGATAAGAAAAAGCGAATAAAACGTGGGATTACGATCATTTATACCCATGTCTTATATTCTCGTTCGTTTCTCAAATCCAGCGTATCGGGAAAATAGCTCATGAACGTTTTTGTAACTGTTGAGAGATTTGCCATAGGGGAGCACCCCAGAGACTATGCCGACCCCAATAGCTTAGGCTCGGAGAGGAATAAAATGGTGAATGTCCCGTGCACGCTGGATTACAAGGTCCAAAAACGTACAGAGCGTAACTTAGTCCATGTTCATGTACACAAAACGACCACGGGCAAAATGATGGCCGAAAGCCTTGCCCGAATCGATCACCCGATGCTCAAGTAATTGCTATGAACCTATTCCCTAGCGTTAAGCGTCGCCGTCTCATCAATATTTTAGTTGGTAAGGAGCGCCCTTTTTTATACCCTAGGTAAGAGTTAGAGTCTGACAGGGCAGCTTCCATAGGAGTTACTGACAATACTGCTAAACAGTAAAGGAGCACCATTTTATTTTCAAGGTCGACCTGTTCACCAATATAACTATATTGTGTTTCATCGTCATCAAGCAAGCACCGATCACATCCATAAAATGGTTCACCCTCGTGGGTAGGCTATGTACATTACACAGGTGTCAACGGAGATCGAAGGAGACAGTTTGAGCCTTGCCCGGGTCCAATGGGAGTTTCGAACTCCGTTGGAGCGAGTATCTGTTAGAGGCGACTATCTCAGGCAGCCCCAAAGAATGGACGAAGATCCAGATTTCATATGTCACGTATTGACTCTTGCGCAGCTTCAGGAGCGCAAGCTCGATTCGTCAAAACCATCTGTTTACACCGTATGTTTCTGGCCTGTTCGTTTCGTTATCTATCTGTCGGGCCCCAGCTGATTCGCTTCCAATCCATCTTCTCGTGACCAACGTATTAGATCGAGAATACATACTTTGTTACGAGGCCCAGATAATCACCGAGCTATTCAATGAGCTCAGGAACCCGAAGGATGCGACAAGGCCCATGAAATGGTCTACAATTCGACGGAGAAAAGTCTCATACAAGTCTTGTCGTACCTTCGCCGGCCGACTCGTTGCCGGGCTTGTGGCGCCCAGTCCCTTACCCCCCCCCCCCCCGGCGGGGCGTTGGGGGCCTCTTCAATCAGACAGATGATGTGAATGGAGTCTTTGGGTACGGTAGGAAACCATCATACGAACAAGGTGACAACGGATCGCACAGGGCTAGCGAAGAAATGAGGGGGTCATCATGAGCGGACTGAGGCGCAGGTGATTAATCTGCATATTGAGGGTTTCCAATGGTGGGTTTTCAGAGGCGTTTCAGGGTAATTTTATCAAGCTTTCCCGGGAGTTGAGGATAAGTGTCGACTGGATTGGTTAGCAAGTGTCTAGTATATAATAGACCCACAACCCTGCGGTTATTATACGAGGAACTGAAGTTCCGTTATTGAGAAACGAAAGCAAATAATTTTCCTTTTGCACATACTTCCCAGCCAATAGCCGCAGTACGTAAATCGCAACACCTGGCTATTTGCTGTTGCTTTGTCTTTTACTCTTACGAATAGTAGTCGGAAGTCCTGTACTTGATTCGGCGTTACGTAGGCCAGAGAAAGGAATCCCTTGCTTCATACGCAAGCATCTCTGGTAACTCCATCTTGCTCTGATCACAGCTTCGTCCGTCTGAACAGTCCAGTAATAGCTTACCTATCCTTATCTTTCCGAGATATTCTCCGGGGAATGTCATCTCCGGAGGCGCTGAAATTGTGCGGGCAGGGTGTCTTGTGAAACCGCGAGGATATTTGGTGGAAGCCGGTTGTGTTGTGAGGCCGACGCAGAACAGGAACAATGACCCATTGTCAGAGAGCTCCCTACGCTTGTATACGGAAAGCCAAGTCTATTCCCAGTCAAATTTGGTTCCATTCTGTACATAAATTCTGCATCGTGCTTACCAAATTTTAGCCATCTTATTAAAGTTTGGCATCCACCCTTATTCGGCTGCAGATGTTATCGTTACTTCTATCTATTGCGCCAGAAGGTGGCTAAGTTACGGTATGTTAATGTCATTCACACCCGCTAACTCAGGCAAATAGTTATACCTTTTTGTTGGCGGTAGTCTGCGGTCATGACTTAATTTGTTGAATGGCTTATCAATCTGCAAAATGTTATATAAGCGGCCAAGGCTTAAACAGCCAGACACCAATTACGGTGGCACTGACTGAACACCACATCTATGGAGACCTGTTAAAATAAAGCTGAGGATAATGCCCATGGCAGACGCAATTTAACATCTAGTCTTTAGCCGCCCATTGGTAGGAATTCACAATGAAGAAGACTCTTTGCTATTCATAAGGTGATTCAATTAGCCCAATAGCTGGGCAAGCAGAAAGGAAACGAGCTCCATCAACCCGAAGATCCTCCCAGGTGGAAATATCGGCAGGGTTGGCAGCATGAAAGGACGGACTCAAGTTAGGTTCACGGCCACAAGCGCCACGTTGGTAGTCATTATATCGCCGCTCTTTCTCGTAAAATCTCCGCCTAGTTAGAAACTGCTGTTTTTGAAACTGGTCCTTGTGGGAAAAGTCTCCGAAGGCTAGAACCTGCAACTTTGGAAGACCCGTCGGCCCGAACGCCCATTCGGCAAATGATAGAAATTCCTCCGCTTCAGAGGAGGCTGAAAGGGTTTTATCCACACCGTCTGGTGTTTCCCAGGTGGGCGTAGAGGTTGAGCCGTCATTCACGATGCTCGTGAGGTCGCTCCAGCTGTTGGAGAAAGGCCGTTGCCCGGCACTTTCAATGCCGTAATCCTGATATATATCTCTAGATTGCTTTGTCCCTAACCGAGTTATGATTTCGAGAGGGATATCCCTGTGGAACCTCTCTGACCCAGTAAACCGGATATGCAAAATTTCGATAATGGAATGCCGAGCCAAGGGCTCAAGGCATAGCCTCTGTCACAATTAGCAAAAAGCGGTGCCGCATCCAATCTTAGGACTTACCAAGACAGGGGGACTTGAACAAAGGCCTAGAGCAGACAGACAAGAAGGATTCCAAATATTCCGTTGATCACAGATCCATTGCGGTGAAACATCCCGTTCTTCTTCGAATAGGCCTTCATCATCAATAGGAACAAGTCGACGTTCGTGGTAAGAAAGGCTCTCAAGGGTAGATTGGTGGTGTCTGATAACAGATTCAACACGAGAGGGTTCTTCAAAGTTTGAGAGTTTTAGATACAAATGCCTCAGCCCCTTGAAAGAGGCCAAAAAGCTCACCACTGGAGTCAGATCTTCGCCAAACCCATTAAGTAAGTTGTCGCAGGCGAATTCGAAAAGCGTTAGTTGCAGCTTGTCTTGTGAACGAGACAAGGAACTAAGGAAGCGTAGCTGATTGGGACAATCCCGCAGAACCAAACCTCTGAGGGAACCGCACCTTAACGCCAAACTGGGGTGGAGAGTTTGCGGAAAGGGAACTTTGCACAGCGCCAAGGATGAGAGTGAAGGAAGAGCACTTGAATGACACATTCCCGATTGCTGTCCAAAAATCTCATCGAAAAGGTCCGGGGCATCAGTAAAACTGACAAATCCAATTGACAGATTTGTTAAGTGTGCAGCATTTTGGCGAATGCATCGTCTCAAGGAGTCGGCCTCAGCAGGCTGCTGAATACCTTCCCACTCTAAGATTTTCAAAGACGAGAACTCCGAAAGACCATCCAGAGCATCTCCTGCCTGGGGGCAAGACCCATCTGTGATGAGTGAAAGTTTTCTAAGGCCCTTATGGTGCCGGCAAATGTATCCATTTTCATCCAGGATACCTGGTGGAACACAGGTGCCTAAGTGCCACCTATGAAGGCGCGTGAGCATTAGGAGGGCAAGGAGAATAGCAATCCCTAATAGATAGACTCACTGGAATGAACGGAGGCTATTTTCTTTGAGACATGCGAATATCAAATGCATTTGTTCCGAAATATCATCCAGAAAATGGCGATGCGCCTTTGCCTCATCGGAAGTGCCGAGTGTAGACGAAGCTTCTCTCAGGCCTGACGTGCGAAAGGTACTATGATGTACACAGCGATTAAATCGGGCGATATATATTGGTGCCTGGATATTAAGATCTCTGGTGTGGTGGAGATAGCTGAGGGGCTGTGAATGCGCATGGTTCCGAAAGAATGAATCGATATCGAGTACATTGAGTGCCCACTCGCTCGCAGCACGAAACGTGACGGTGCGATATATTAAGGGAACCAGAGCAGCATTGATCGTTGAACAAACCTGGCTGAGAGAACGAAGATCGTCAGGGGGCAGCTAACAAGTCATTAGGAAAGGTAGACAAATGCATCAAGTGACGAACCAAGTCCGCGACATCCAATAGTATTTCGCATGGCACTATCTCGAGCATGTCGCTGAAGATATGTCAGTGGATAATCCAGGGATATAGAGGAAAATTTACTTCAATTGTTGTAGTGCTCAGACTGGAAACCCTTTATTTATGTCTGATAGTACTGTAGAACAAAGTATTCTGGATGGCACAAAACAAGGGAGATACACGCATAACTGGGAATCTGATTTAATTCTCGAGTGAATTCTTTTTGAACATAGAGGAAAAGGCAAGACAGTATTGGCGTCTAGTCCAAATCTGTATCGCAGAACAAAACCATCTAGCAACCCTTCCTATAATCCGGTTTTAACAATCCGGTCAAAACCTCCGTAGAAGTATATCAAGGGCCATGACATGGCTGAATTTCAATTTTACCACAAATTGATCTACTAAATGGGGTACGCATCTCTCCGATGGGTCCCGAAAATCATGGGTACAATACGGTTGAACCAGGAGGCTGAATGTTGAATTTTCTTGTTTTTCAACGGTGCGACGTTGAAAATGCGAAGAGATTTGCTACCTAGTACCGATGGGGGGAGATCAAGATTAAGATGTTCAGATTGGGGATAGTCGAGAGAGGTATGTAAATTGACTTTACCTTTACATATTCTTCCATATTTCCATGTTTAATCCCAACTATCTACTCCAATATAGCCATTCGTATGGGTAAGCTTGAGATTGCTTACTTCTACCTAGAAAGATTCACGCAATGAAAGCTGAAAACTAATGATGCCCCGCTAGTAAAAGGCTTTTGAACTCGTTCTGACGCAGAAGAAGCGCCATGGAGCTCAGGTAGTTGGACACCAAATTCAGCCCTCACAAGCACCAACCCCCTTGGCCTATACTATTGGCACAAGCTTCAACGTATCTATTCTCGCTGCTCAATTCATAGCTAGCTTATGGCCTTGAACCAAAGAAAGTTATAGCTGGCGTTGTCCGTTGACTAACCTGCAATATTTGAGGGATGGCCTACAAGAAAAGGTTGACGGCTGTATATCCTATAGCGCTCGGTCCCAAACCACTCATTCGCGTTTATAAATAATTATATAGAGCGCCTTTATCGCGTCCTTGGCCCATAGAGACTTGTAGGCAACCATGGAGGAGATTGTCGACATCGTTCGAGAGATCGGCCGGCAGCAGGCAGAAAATTCGTACTACCGTACCTGCTACGGCCTTCTGAAGCTCTTACAGGACTCAGTGGCCCAGGCATCTGATAATATGCTTTGTCTTCAGCAATACGAAGCCCTATGGCCCTCCAATGGCTTCTTGCCCATCCACCACATTACCACGGAATTACGGAACTCGGTAGAAAGCTTGTCGAACCAAGAAAAAAAGGCTCACTTAGCTTGGGTGAACCTCCTACCTACCGATCCAAGCCGGTAAACCCCGCCAGATTTGATGAATTGAAGGGCCATCGTCGGATAGACGTTCAGAGAGATAGGAAATCTTCGATCGCTTACGCAGGTTATTGGTCTTGAAAGTACCAAAAATCATGACTGGGGCATGAACGAGGATAGGGCACTGATTTGTGAGAGTATGATGAATTGAGGGAGAGCGATGAATTTGGAGGGAGCCCAGCGATGTCTTCGTTGAGACGGCCCGGGTGTTGCGAATTTCTACGTATGTAACATCTATTACATTCGGTCTACCCGGGCAAAGCAAGGACCTGAGTACAGCAATATTCGAAATTGGCTTCCAAGTTTTAACAGAGAAACTATATCACGCCCCACTGCCAAGACAATGGTAAAACTGTCTAGGCTGGACTCGGCTACGCTGCAGATCATACCTATTCGTCGGAATGGAAATGTAAATTACCTGACAAGAGAGATACGCTGAAGTAGTTATATCCTGCGTCCCCCGCTAAATGCTTGCTGTCTCCAATCTCCTGACCGTGCTCATATGTATAATTGCAGCCCTCCACGTAACGTTTACCGCCCAACATTCAAAGCACCCGGTGGAACATTACGGAGAAGATACGGTACCATACAAGGTGCATTTCAAAACGGCCCTCAACTTGGTGTGGCCCGATCAATGAAAGATCTGCGCTAGGGCCTTGAGAAAAGAAGGGCAGTCTGTAGAGAGGAAACTGATTTCGCTAGTAAAGGTAGCCTTGTAAGCTATTCCTCTAGAAGCTAGCATTTCCCAAGCTAACGTGATCATCCTTGTCATTCTAGAAAAACTCGCCGCACGTACCGATGTAACTGGAAAAACTGCACCGGCGTGTTCTCCCAAAAGGGAAGTTTCAATCGTCATATGGAAACGCAGCATATCTCACCGCGCTCATTCAAATGCCCTGTGTGTGGGAATCTCTTCTGTCGAAGGGACAATATGGCCGCACACTTGAAAGGAAAACATACGGATTCTATTGGCAATCCCGACAAGACATTTCTCGACCGAACGAAAACTACTACGAAAGAGACTAGTCACATCAATCGCGAACAAAAATACAGTAATGAAGAGCTTGCTGCTCTTGACCAAGGATGGGGCGATATTCTCAAGAGCTTTAACCGGCAATTCCGGGGCGTCAATGTCGTCGTGTCCACACACTACAATCAACGTACTATCTAAAATCGAAAAACGTGATGAATCACCAAGCTTCGAGCCAGGTATTCGACGACCTGATTGCCCGGTGTTCGCTGGACCAACCCACGGTACATCGCAAAATCGAAAAAGAGCTGGACCGCAGTCTAATTTGGTATAAACTCGTTGAACCCCTCCTTTTTCCGTGGCTAATGAAGCACTAGAGTCACGCTTTCGAAGGGCCTCGAACTGCACTTGGAAGTAGACACCCAGTCACATGAACAATCCGAAAGCTGCAGGATGAACTTACAAGGAGAAGAATAAGCACCAATATACAGGGGAGCCACTTACCCAGCAGAGGAAAGTCTTTGAGTGCCGAATTTGCTGCACCCAGCCAGACCGTTGGTTGACGCTTTCATGTGGACATACGCTGTGTCTTTCATGCAAAAAACGGCTTGGAAAGCCAAAAGAAGAGTCCTATGTGTAGGGGACGCATCACCGGATATATTCGCTCCGACTTGATGAGGTCGAACAAAGAGGCAAAATTCTGTGCAGATGGATCAACGAAGGACATTTCTCGTCAGCTTCAGGCGACACGCGTGCGAAAAAGGCGGTCAAAAGGCCGAATGGTCTAGTAATTGAAAGGGAGGGGCTGAAGGGGTTCGCAGCGAAGCCTGAATAAGTGGTCGAGTGGACAAGTGGTCGAGTGGACAAGTGGTCGAGTGGACAAGTGATCGAGTGGACAAGTGGTCGAGGTGACAAATTGGTCAAGAGGGTGGAAAAGCAAAACTGCCCGGTCGGAGAAGTGGAGAAGTGGTCAAGGAGACAAGTGGTCAAGGGGACGATCGGTCTAAGTCTTGTGCAAATATCATAATAATGCAGGCGGGGTTGCTCACTTCACTATACTATTTGGGGATAAGAGTCGGCTGATCACCACCACCAATGGAGATCGATGAGCGGCTCGCCCACCACAGCGCCTTTGAAAGGCCCCGAGCCAATGAGCACCAATTTCCTACGGCACAGCTTACAGGGATGAGGCATAGATTTTCCGGACCTATAGTAGAGATTATGGGCCAGCGAGAAGTCTGCCTTGCCCTTGTCTGTGCCCTTGCTGCTTGTGTTTGACGCTCTTGTCGACCCGATCGCCGGTGGCACCCTTGTCGAGTCTGCTTTTATCGCCATCATATATAGCCAATTATTTGACCTTATGATTGGCGCACCATGTGTTCCGGAGTCGTGATATGATCACAGCCTTGTGAGTTGGACCTTCTTCGCTCAGGCAACTGCGTGCGGATATCCATATTTGGAAGACTACCCCTGTCTATTCGGCGTTCCGAGTCATACTTATCACATCTCCTTCTCATAATGATATTTTTACTGGTTGAGATGTCACAATGGTGATATGCTACGCAAGGCTCATCATGTGCTGGCGCAGGAGGGGTTTATGAGAGAAAGTGGCCTGGGAAACTTATAAAAGGGCATGGAATCTCCCTCATGTTTCTACTCAATATGTTGGATATCCCACAAGTTCGACCGGAAATAATAGTTTTTCTAGTAAAGCTTGTAAATATTGACACACGGCTTTATTTCTTCCAGGGTCCGCGTTATCTAGACAGCTGGTAATTGCGAGTTAAGATGGCGAGATTAGACAGTATGTTTATTCTCAGAGCTAACGAATGAATCGTTTGTATATAGATCTACTCCAGAGCCAAGGTCTATCGATCGCCTGTTTAAAAGAAGAAGCTTGGCTCTTGTTGCAGGCATACTGTGTAGTGTATCTAGAAAGCCAGCACTTGATGAGGGCAATGAATTGCCCCAGTATAGCGCATCACGACCAAGACTTTGTGGAAAGAAGTTGCATTTTACATGCGCGTATTTCTACCACAAATCCGACTCCAATTGGCCATATGCACCCCTCAATTTAGAGTGTTAATGAGTTTTGCTCGTTAAGCTTCCAATATATTCTGGCTTCTTCCTTGCCGCAAGAGCATGGGGTGCATCGCATTTTAGCTGCGGCATCTGTTGCAGATTATTTAGGACGATAGATTGGGTTAGAAAGCCACATTCTCGTGGTGAATTTCGAAATGCTCCGATGCATGGCGTTCGTCGAAAATTCGAGCATCGCTCAACCCAAAATCTTTAGTAGACGGGTTTCACCAAAATTTGTCATCGTCCCATACCACAAACTCCCTGTGTCCTCTTGACCTAATACCTTTGGATCAAGTTTCATCGAGCTCCATCTCTTTTTCTTTTTTTTCTGTAGCTTATCGGTAGCTTCTAGCTCATCCCGGTTTAACCGCTCACCCTTGTCGTAATGCTGAAGCACCATGAGATTCGGGGACACGATCTAAGGTCTTAGAGATTTCTCGAAGTATACCCTCTGATCTCAAGCTTTTCGCTTTCCAACCAGTTCATATCATTTGATCGTTCTTCATTTGTTATTTTGCCGCCAGTTGAACTTTGATTGTACTTTCCAAGGTAAGACGCACACAGCATTTTATCAGGGTGCCTGTCATAATACCAGAAGCAATCATCCCATGATAAACCTCTAGACATATCATCTGAACTCGAAATGTGGAATCTGTGAGCATCTAGCCCCTCAAAAAACTTTCTCAGAAATTCGATGTCGTTCGGCAACAAAAGCACCTCCGTGGTTGTCCCGTCATCGATTATAATCCTGAATACAGGAGTTATTGCTTGTCTGCCCCATTGGTTACTGCCTTGCTGGCCCCAATTATCGGGCCCAGGAAAACTGTGTACGTCTTGCGGTGGGTGTTGTGGTGCATTATGGACCGTCGCATGTGGCACATACGCAGATCCAGAACCAGCGAGCGAGCTGTCATGTCTAGCATCTGCTTCCATCCCAAACTCGATATCTGCAAGGAGGATATCGATTTCATCTGGGGGTGACTCGGCCGCGGCAGGGGGTGGAGATGGAGCTGGACTATCTGGTATTCCAGAATAAATATACTCAAAGAAGGCGTTAAAAACAGAACGTCGCACGAAGCCTGCGCTGACCCGGTCATAGTTACAAGGGCTCTGTAATGACGATCTCGATAGCGCAAAACGGTCCGCGTTCACTGAGTCTGTGAATGGGTTTCCGCTTCGCCTTTCCAGACTGACATCTTCATTGACGGGTGGGAAGTCACTCGGCATAACACGCGGCAGTTCCAAATATTGTAGTTGGTTTTCATCGTCGGCCGGAACCTTGAATCCGCGCTGATGCGCTAGCCAGAGAAAGTGATGCCCAAGGACCTGTACGTCAAAGTCATTAGGTCGTTCGTGCAGACCTAGTCTAGTGGCGCGCTCAATGTCAACGCGCTTTCGAGGTTTACGGCGGCGGTGCTCCTTGATTGTCGTCATCTCAAAAGCGTACTGAAAACTGAATCGCCATAAGTCGCAAAGGTCCCTTTTCAACCACTCTTCTTGGTCCGAGGCTGGAACTATACCGCCTTCCGAGAGGTTGTTATACTGGCTTCGCAAGGTCTTATCAATGGTAGGAGCCGTTCTCTCCAGTTCATCCTGGTTAGTCTTCTTCCGTTTGTGTTTCCTTTCAGGCTGTTTGATGCATAGCTGTCGCATGGCTCTTTGGCATACGTCAAGATATAGTATGTCCTGGAAAAAAGTCTCAAGTGTGAGAATTGGAAAGTCGATGTCTCGCAACCGATTAAGAATCTGACCACGGTTGGCAGAATCCGCGATTGCTGGAAATAATTCATTTTCCATCCCATTTAAGTACTCAAGATCACCCTTGGAGATTTTTGGTGCGAGTGATTTGATCTTCATGATTGTCTCTGCATCAAAGTCTGCTAAAATGGCTTGGTCTTGTCCCGCGAGATTGTAAAACGTCTGCTTAATCTTTCCCAAATAACATATGATTGGCTAAATTCTATGGGCGTTAGCTGTCAAATTAGGACGAATGATTGCTTGAAGAAATGGTAAGTGAGCACTACCTCGTCACATTTCATCGCCATCAACTTGTGTAATACACCAATGTTCATGCCATCCCAAAGACCCTCAATCGGAAGAAGATCATCAAAGCTCTGGCGTAAAGTCTCATTGTTCAGTAATGATCGTAGATAGGCCCCTTTTTTGCTTCTACCCCCTTTTCTGCTCCCTGGGGAGCTTTCCAAGACAGCCCACCAGTAATTTTCAGCTGCCGTATTAGCTATCGCTATGTTCGGATAGCCTTGGTAAGAGCGGATTTTTTGATAGATTCGACCGTCCGAGGGGAAATGGTCGTTTGAATAGCTCTCTTGGAGGCTGCGAATAAGTTCTTCCCGTTGTTGACCTCAATATTGGTCAGCATGTACAGAGACGTGGATAGCCAAACTGTGCCTCATAATCTAAGCGGTCAAGCTTACTTACAGGCCCCTTCTGAGCTGGTAACGTAGATATCGATCACGCACCACGGGTCCTCAACTCCTAATTTCTTGAATCTCCTTTCAGCCGCAGCAATAACATCCTCGTGGTCCAGCACAAAGAAGCGATAACCGTGGTGTACCTCCAATTGTGGTAGCCGCACTTGTGGGGCTAAAGTTGGCTCTTGCCATTTTACTCGTTCCTGCCAATCGGACGAGTCAATCATAACAGGGATGTGGTATTTCTCTTGGAGACGCAAGAATCCCTGGCAATCGAAGACTTTCTCAAGGCGATCAACGTTTCGATGACTATTAGTTTCTCGACTCAAGATTGTGTCACACTTTAGGTCGCGAAGTCGAACGACGCCGGCTCCTTGGAAGCAAGATTCTCGATAGATTGCTAGTTCGCACTCTTTTTTCTCAATTTCACGCTGCCTTTCCAAATTGTGTCTTACCCTTTCCGAGCTCCATGTTCTCCTTGAAGTGGACGGCATGTTCCCTTGTCTTTTCTTTGTGCGAACGGAAGAAATTTCTACCAGCGAGAGACAGCCACTTGGGAGGTGTAGATTTTATAACAAATGCCTGGCAAAAGGTGATAATTTCTGTACTCTAGAATCTAACAAAAGCCGCAAGCTTTTCGTTAAGAAGAAATGCCTTCCCAGATATCTGAGGTGGGCAGCCTCTGTTCGAACATACGTATATTAACACACGACGGTTAACCATTGATTTCAATAGTCTGGGGTATGTAGAGGCACGGTCTCCCTCAATTCTTCCACTAGACTCAAGTTTCGTGCAGTCTACTTGCTGCCCGTAAAATTTGACTGGCGGTATCGTGTGGCCTAGGAAAGGGCAAATTTGTCTCTGATAGCGCACCGCTACAGTAGTAGTAGTAGTAGTAGTATATTTCATTTACACCGGCCTCTCGCAAGAAGCGATATACGGTCTACCTCAACTATATATCTCCGCGTATGTACATGTAGAGTGATCCACTTCCTGAAAACGAACTTAGAGCCTCGTCAAGGCCTATCGTGGCCACATTGCCGTTCCCATTGTTAGACTGCCCTTATGGCGCACGGCTGCGAAACCGCTGTGGTGCCTCGGCGAAGTCCAGCACATCCTGGACTGTTTTGGCTCGCGAGAAGGTGTCTGGTTTACCTTTCTCACCTTGGTTTGAGCCTCCCAGCAGACTCGACACGCTGTTGAGCGCGTCCCCGACTTGGCTTCTCAATTCCCGCCGCAGTTCTCGCAGATTTGGACAGTCGACCAACACGTCGCCGACCGGCTCCTGCGCGCCGCACTCACATTGATCATTGTCACCGAAGTTGAATTTCTTCGCGTGAGTGGATGACCAGTGGTGGCCCGTGCGAAGCTGAGTGAGCAAACATGCTCGGTTTAGAGAACTATAATAATAAACAGGTAATTAAGTGATGGCAGGGAGAGTGGAGTGTAGATCCGATGAAATGAACAATCTGCCCAGCCGAGTTTTGAAGTAAACGGTTGTTGGTAGTTACTCGTTTTGCACACCATCACAATTCTCTAAGGCCTCAATATGACCAAATAGACTGTGTGAGGCCAGCACGGTTGAATAACTGTAAAAAAATTAATTGTTTGCCTAGAATTTGTTTGACCAGGTTGACTACCCGTCGAATCACCCCTCCCCTGAGTTCGCTCGCAACACAGCCCGGTTTGCAGCTGCTGAGATTGCCAGCACGTTGAAGAGCTCAGTCGCCAAAGAGACAAATGAACATAGGAACAGAACTAGAGGGATTGAACACAGAATCATGGCTAGCTATGTCCTGGTCAAAAAGTGCCCGGGAAGCCGACAGACATTGAAAATTAAGTTTGAGGCCCGGTAATTAAAGGTCAATTCAGTAAGCCTGCTTGGATGAGTAGTTCATGGGTAATTCAAAGCCCACTCTTTCATCCGATAACGATGCTCAATAAGAGGTTGAAAAGAACATATTAGGGGATTACAGCAACTGGTAGAGGGCATGGGCTTTTAAATTTGATTCAAAATAAATAATAATAAACAGACAATTAGATTATGGAGGGGTAGAGTGCAGTGGTGGATTCGACGGTATGAACAGTTTGTTTTGTTAAGTTGAGGAAAGTAGATGTCTATTTCAGTACTGCTACATGCAGAGCAATGAGATGATTTTAAGGTCGGGCCTATTCTACTGCGAGTGCAGCTATGTATTGAACACAAAAACGGTGCGATCAATTCGCTTGATACATAATCTTCATGAAGAAGTCCGTGCTTCGCCCACGCACGGTGGTGCTGATTAATACGAGTTTGTTGCCCGAGGCAGGAAGTGGTACTCCAACGCTCAGTTCAACTGCCCAGAACTTGTTCAGTGAGAGCTGGTTTGACGGAGTATTTTAACTGTTAATGAGGTGTCTGCAATCAATATCAACCAGGTGGCTCGGAAAGTGCTGAGACGGGAACAAAAGCGGCTTATCCAGTAAACTATAAAGCAGGTAAGTCCCATCGGTTTGTCTATCTAATAGGCTCCACGCTAGGTATTGTCAACCGTCAGAGGCGATCAATGAATATAGCCGCCTAACTACTCCTCCTTTGCACTAAAGTATGTTTCCTGTGGGCGTTACTGGCACTCCAAACCATCATACAAAGATGCAATTTCTAAGAAGTCCGCAATTCTCACGAGAAGGACGGATGAAAATATTTATCAGGAATCGCCAACAGAGTTCACGCTCGATACCGAGAAATTATCTCTTGACTTTAAGGCCGCTTTGTGTGTTTCTCTGAGAGCGCTAGCCCTAATAGCCATGCTATCTGGCTCTGTGTTAGCCGCACTCGTGGGCGGGGGCCATCTTCCACTTTCTGGCAGTTGGACAGACAGAAATGTTGAATAGGGGTAGATTATTTACAATAGCATACGGCTACTGTAACACTGCGACCATTCGAGGCTTTCAGGCGCGTCTGTACCTGCGGGACCATGGGGATGACCACGAGAAGCCAGCGGGTGGGGCTGAACCCTCAGCTTCCAGACCCCCCAGCCCGTCGCCCATCTCCCATCCCCGAAGCCGCAAACCCCGCAATCTCACCCAAATACCCCAACGTTGAGGACCTTTTTCTCGCCGAGGATGATTCTCACGATGAGGATTACTTTCTCGTCTCAATCACCTACGACTACTCCACCATCACAGCCCGAGCTCGTTCGTTCCAAGGAATAGTGCTTGCTGGGGCCACTCCGCTCCAACTGGCCCAGAATGGCTTCTATTACCGACCTTCAGGAGTCAGCAATGTGGCATGTTGTTTTGCCTGCCAATCGACCAAGCATTTATCCACCTTCCAATGCACCCCGTTCGAGGAAGTGCAACAACTACACGAGGAAGACTGCATATGGCAGATAATCTCGCGCGATTTGAAACACCACCTCGGAACTCCCAACAAACCCCCCTCCTCAACCACCGCATTCTCCTCCCCTAAACGGTAAACCCCTACCGCCGAGTCTAGTGCACAAACTACAAAGATAGTCTTCGCGCTGTTTGGGGGACTTGCGTAACCCCCAACAGCAACAACACAACGATTTGATCAGCGAAATAATCATTTCTTTGGTCGAGAAATCCTCCATTGATATCACCAAAGTATCGGTGACAAATTGCCAACAAGAATAGTAAATCAGTAGTTACGACGTGGAAGTTTGTTTGACTCAATCCTGGGAGAATACGAGTTCATTTCATCGTAAATAATGTAATATATACCCACGAGGAATACCAATCGCTGCTATGCTCAATTAGGAAGGGACTATTTTTTTTATTGAAAGGTACTCACTTAGTGGGCCGTTCATGATTTGAGGACATAGTAGGTACGTAATAACCTGGGGAAGGTGAATTCGAAATAGACCTAGGGCCAGTGGTTGAGTCACTGTAGATGAGCTGAGAAAGCCCTGTCGTTGTGAATCTTGCCACGTTTGACATATTTGTAAGAATTGGTTAATTATCCGGGGTTTAGATAGCCAACCAGCAGAGGGGAAAGCCATGATATGGTTCCACAGGGTACTATTCGAACGTCACTATAACATAACCTGGGGCAGTTTATGGTTGGGTGGGCTCCACATAGCCCCGTTTAATTTCCTTATCATGCTTATACAAGTGTGTTAGTTGCCTACGTATAGCCTCCGTATGTTCTGGAACCACATCAAGTTCCAGAAGATCCGTTGCATACTAGGCAAAACGTAATGCCTTTGGGAGCAACCCAGGTGTATAGCCATGCCAGGTCTGTCATTTTTGAAGTGTCACATGTGGGACCTCCGCAGGCATCAGTTAACGCCACCACACAAAGTTAACCACTCTGTTTGTTCGAGGTCATCACCCTCCCTCAATTCACCACTTTCCCAATTTACCACTCCCTCTTATTAAATTCCCCGATCGTATCCCTCAGTACGATTGACTTTAAGAAATCTGCGTAAGCGGTCATTTTCTTTTCTGATCTCGATGATCGTCTTCTATCCAAGGAGTGGGCTTCTGACTTATCAAATCTATTATTTACACCAAGCCAACATAGCCATTGGTTACTAGAATCATATTATTGAACCGATTCATTCTCTCTCCAAGGTTCTAGCCATTACGACATGAATTGGAGCAAGTATTCAAGGCTTCCCCTGGTTTTTGTATTCAATCATCAATAAAGCCTGGGTAGAAAAGAACAGGGACGCGAGAGTATATTGAGACTTAGATCGTTGCCGCCTATCCTCGCGGTAGTAATGGAACTTAGCCTCAGTTATTTGGTTTGTACCGCGTGTTGCCCCAAGCTATCCTCTGACCATGAGCTAGCCGCGATGTAGGCAACTTCTCAATCCCCACTCAGCCTGGATATTTGTCAGTGAATAATACAGCCTTACATCGCTATAAAGCTAAGCTTGTATCCATATAGCAGGTGAATATTTTCCTGCTCCTCTGACTCAAGATTAGGACATTTGGATTTCCTTAATGGCTCCAGTCAATCTATGGTCAAAAGAGGAGGTAATAATCGCTGTTTACTTCACGTCTCGGGGTGTTCGACCGAAATCCCTCCATTGTTTGCTCAAAAGAAGAGGATTTGATCGATCATGCTATGCTATTAAGTCCAAAATTTCCCATGTACTAAAGAAGCACACACACTTGAAGGGGCCGAATAGTCTTTGGGATTGGAGAAATGTTGATCGGTGGATCGATGACCTACTTGGGAATCACGAATTGGTCAACTCGTTAATCAGCTTCTTAT